AGTTTAGGAGTGCCTGGGTGGCTCAGTCGGTTAAGCGTCTGACTCTTGATTTCAGCTCAGGTCATAATGTCATGGTTGGTGAATTTGAGCCCTGAATCAGGCTCTGCACTGACAAGGCGGAACCTGCTTGGGATTTTCTCTCTCCCTGCCCATTCCCCACTCACATGCAGGCTCGCTCGCTCGCTCTCTCAAAATAAAACATAAAAATATAAAAGAAAAAGAGTTTAGTCCTATTAATACGTCCTAAAGAGTGATCCCAAGCATTTTATGTCTCCCCAAAGAAGTTCATTCAAACCAAATCTCCATTTGCTGACACTAGAATGTTCCACAGACCTGCTGGGGGATTTTGACTTTGTTGGGAAGTCCAACCATTTACAGGCTCAGACACGTTCAGAGAGAAGAATGAAAACTAGGTGTTCTTGATGAAAATGGGGCATGTGGTCTGGTACACCCAAATTTTAATTTGCTCAAAAAATGTTTTTTCGAATTGTGTCTGAGGATACAAGTGCACTAGAAGCCGACCACGGCCACTCTGTGAAAGCAAGTGAAGACTGCAGGGAAATGAGGGTGAACAGCTGCATTCTGATGCAAGTAGGAATGCTGTTCCACACCAAGCCACCGTACTTGTCTGGGGGTGAATGTGGAACCAGAGGGACGGGGTGGGAGACCCTCCCAGCTGGCACTCAGCGTCCTGCCCGCACAAAAAGTCTCCCATTGTGTCTGTGGTCCCTGAAAACGTGCATCTCATTTGTGAGGTAGGTTGAGACTTTTTGGTTTTCTGCTTCTACTTTCTTTTCTTCTTCTTAAGTTTATTTGGGAGAGAGAGGCAGAGAGAAAGGGAGAGAGAGTCCCAAGCACTGACAGTGCAGAGCCTAACGCAAGGCTTGATCCCATGAACCGTGAGATCATGACCTGAGCCGAAATCAAGAGTCGGATGGCTTAACGAACTGAGCCACCTAGGTGCCCCTCCTTCTACATTTTATCTAACACTGTAGAATGTCTGAGGACAAGGGACCCGGCAAAGTGTGATCCCACCATGCCATGTTGATTGGAAATGCCAGAATGAGACTTGCATGCATGAAACACTTATTGTCACAAGTCGAAGAAAGAAGGGAGAGGACAGAACGGTCCCTTTCACTGAAAGTGAAAAATGCTGGATGTCTCAATGTGTTTGTTAACTGCACAGACCCAAACCAGCAGGCTGAGGACCAGAGGGAGTGTGTAAACTAAGGGGAGCTGGTCTCCTCTCCAACCTGGTTCCTTCCTCAGGGGATGCCAACATCACAGCCCTTCTGGGTAATGCTAGAAATTTCTGGCACAGTGTTCTCAGATCTATGAGTGGCCCAGGTACATTACCAGTCAAGAAAAAATTGTTCATATTTGTTTTCTCAAAACAAATATTCACTTATTAGGGTTCAAATCTCTAAGGGCAGTTCTGAGAAATTAACGTTGTTCTTCAGAGCAGTATTTTAGATATGAACCCATGGCTTCTTCTGTTATTATGATCACATCCAATTTATTGAAAGACTGCATTTTTTTTTAATTTTTTAAATGTTTATTTTATTATTATTTTTTTTTAACGTTTATTTATTTTTTGGGACAGAGAGAGACAGAGAGAATGACGAGGGGGAGGGAGGCAGAGGGAGACACAGAATCGGAAACAGGCTCAGGCTCTGAGCCATCAGCCCAGAAACCTGGCGTGGGAGCTGAACTCGAGTCCTGAATCGCTGACCAAAGCTGAAGTCGGCCAGCTTAACCACTTCGCCACCAAGCATGTAATTATTTTTTTTTTTGAGCGAGAGAGAGACAGAGCACGAGCAGGGGAGGGGCACAGAGAGAGAGGGAGACACAGAATCTGAAGCAGGCTCCAGGCTCTGAGCTATCAGCACATGGCCTGATGCGGGGCTTGAACTCATGGACCGCGAAGATCATGACCTGAGCCAAAGCTGAATGCTTAACTGACTGAGCCACCCGGGCTCCCCAAAAGACTGACTTTTTTTTTTTTAATGTTTATTTTTGACAGAGACAGACAGAGTGCAAGTGGGGGAGGGGCAGAGAGAGAGGGAGACACAGAATCTGAAGCATCTCCAGGATCCGAGCTGTCAGCACAGAGCCCACTGTCAGCACAGAGCCAGATGCGGGGCTCAAACTCATGAACTGTGAGAGCATGACTTGAGCTGAAGTTGGACACTCGACTGACTGAGCCACCCAGGTGCCCCAAAAGACTGCATTTCTAATGACCGGTTAGCCACCTTGTACACACACACACACACACACACACACACACACACACACACACACACACTAACTCATTTCCCCAGCAGGTGGCTCCCTTGACAAGTAGTTAACGTCCACCTAGGTGCAGAGATGTGCTGCGGCCATTCCCTCATGTTTCCAACATGCCTAGTTCAGTTTTGAGGACCCTCTGTTGACAGACTCCAAGTGTGGGGGGGTGAGGAGGATGGTAACTAGTCACTACTGGGGAATTAACACAGCGGCTGCGCCAATCTGGCACCTGAAATTCAAGTCAAGGTCTAGCTTGTGAAGCCAGCTGCAAGCTGCAACTGCGAGAGAGGTCAGACCCAGCTGGGCAGCTCTGTGCTCGGGCTCAGAGCAGAGCTCTTCCTGGCTCCCAGAGCTCCTGCCCCGAACCTGGGCACGACCCCACCCCGGCCCTGCCCCAGCCTCGTCTCCCTGTGTGGTCGGGTTCCACTCACCTCTGATTGTGCTTTCGCTTCCTGAATGAGAGCCGGGACCGTCGATCTTGACCCCACTGATGATAAAACAGACTGTAATCTTTGCTGGTCTCCTGCTGAGACTAGAAGTTGATCCAAACTAATATAAAAATATGAAAGAAAAAGGCAATTTTCTCCTTTCATAAGGTTGTATGTACAATGCTCTTTCTACCAAGTTGCAGGTGTTTTCTGATTTTCATGCTCTCTTTTGGTTTTAAAAATAATTTTTTTAATGTCTGTTTATTTTCTTCTCGGGAGCGCACTGTGAAGGATGGACAAGGAGCAAGGAGAGCAAGGAGTCACAGACTCCGAAACAGGCTCCAGGCTCTGAGCCGTCAGCACAGACCCCGATGTGGGGGTCGAACTCATGAACTGTGAGATCATGACCTGAGCCGAAGTCGGAGACGCTCAACTGACCGAGCCACCCAGGCGCCCCTTCAAAAGGTGCCCCTTTTGGTCATAAGAACTCTCAATACAAACTGCTTGAAGAATCCTGAGTGCTGGGCAGGAATGTCATTCACAGGAATTACTGTGGCTTCTGGGATCCATCACCTCAGGATGTTAGGGAACCAGTGCTGGAGCTCCGCAGAACATTTCTGACAGTTTGAAAAATATTCTTTAAAATGTTAGGAATTTTCTGCTTAACTCGGGTCAGCTTCGAAGGCCCAGACTGTTGTCCCCTGAGGTGCAGCCCTCCCTGTCCACTCTCATCTCTCTGATGGCGCTCTTGCCAAAAGTGCCATGTCCCATCAAGACTGCCCTGCAGAGCGACATTCTGGAAACCCTTTCTCTGCAGGCATGGTCTTTTTCCAGTAGTGATATTAAAAAGCAAAGGGGGCTAAATGCAATGTGGTATCCTGACAGAGAAAAACGACGTTAGTGAAATGTGTTCCGTGAAATCTGAATTAAGTCTGTGGTTAACTGTGTTCTTCTAGTGTTAAATTTCTGACTTTTGACAACTGGACCAGGATTACAGAAGATGTTCCCATTAGGAAGAGCTGGGTGAGGAGCTTGGGTGCCAGTCTTTGCACCTTTTCCAAAAATTGAAAACTAGTTCATAATTTTTTAAAAAGTTTATTTGAGGGGCGCCTGGGTGGCTCAGTCAGTTAAGCATCCAACTTCGGCTCAGGTCAGGATCTCACAGCTCGTGGGTTCAAGCCCTGCATCAGGCTCTGTGCTGACAGCTCAGAGCCTGGAGCCTGGAGCCTGCTTTGAATTCTTTGTCTTCCTCTCTCTAACCTTCCTTCCTGTACTCTGTCTCTCTCTCTCTTTCAAAAATAAATAATAAACATTAAAAAAAGTTTTTATACAGTTTATTTGACTAAAAGGCGAGAGGCAGATACTTACTTAACTGACCAGCCTTTTCCAGAAGGCAGATCCCAGGTGGTTTCACCCACATGATGGGCTGAACTGGGTGCCCCAGGCTCACTGGCTTTAGGGCTGCTTCCTCCTGGACAGGCCCTGTCCCCCCGCTTCATGGGGCATGAAAGGGCAGTGGACCCATTGAGGCCTCCCGCGGGAGAGCCAAGCGACCTCCTGGGGGTGATTTCCAGCTCGGTTTTGAAGAGTACGGCTGTCGGTCCCACTGAGAAGTCCTCACTGCAGAGCTTGTCAAGGTCAGGCATGCTCAAGGCCCTCAGTTCCTGGAGCTTAGAGCGGGATAAGGGAGAGGGCTGGGTGTGGCGCACCGAGGACTTGTTCCTTTTGACGGGAGAGGCTGGGGTCATGGTTGGGGTGGGAATTCCAGAAGGACTAAGTGATTTCTTTGGGTCTGAGTCAGGGCCCTTGTTACTGGCCTCCGCTGGATTCTGCTGGGAGACTGTCAATGCTGTGCTGGAGGGGGACTTGGTCATCTGGGGGATCAGGGTGCTGGCTTCACTTTGGCTTTCGCTGCAGGAACTCAGGCTGCGTCTCAGTGACCTTGCTGCTGGGTCACTGGGGTGGCTGAGGCTCCCGGAAGCAATGCTGCCAGATGACCGTCTCCCAATGGGAGGCTTGGAGCTCGCTGACAAAAAAGGAGACACCCCAGACCTGGCCACCAGCCGGTCAGAATGGGCTAGGTTCTCAAAAGACTTGATCCTCTGCTTCACAGAGAAAAATGAGGTAGATTCGTAGTTCTGCTCAGAGTAGTAATGTCTTCTAGTGACTTTGATTTTGTCCGTGACTAGGCAGCTCGTCTCTCGCACTGAAAGAACATCCCCTTCGTCTGTTGTTGGAAGGTTCCTCGATGTCTCCAGGAGGGGCTTGACGCTGTACACGCCCTGTCCGTTAGCCAGGCCAAGACCACCACCTCTGGCTGCCTTGGCCTCGAGGAGCCCCCCACTTGTTGCAGGGATCTGGCTGTCCCGGTGAGAGCGACCTGGGCTGTGTAGAGCATGCCCTTCCCGTCCAAAATGGCTTGAAAACTGGGCCGGCATGGAGTAGGTCCTGGTCGCTGGCCTTGGTGTGAAACATGGATGGTCATCTGGCACTGGGCCCGCTGACGTGCCGTTCTTGGTCATCCCGAGGGAGCCTGACACCTGACTTGACTTCCCCTGCGAGGAATCCACCTTTCTAGTAGGCAGTTGTGGGGAGGAGGAGGAGGAAGCCAGTTTTGCCACACTGAAAGATCGCTGGGTTTCCTGCTCTACCTGGGACGCACGAGATGTGAGTGACGGCGGATGACTTGAGGACGTCTCCTCTGACTGGTGACAGAACCTGATCTCACTCTTCTCCTGACAGTTGCTCTGGGCTAAGAACCCTCTTAATCTGTCACTTTCAGCTAGCTTGTCACCACATGCATTCTTGGGCATTCTTTCAGAAGAAATTTCAACTATTTTCAGCTGGTTTGTTCTTTCTAGGGGATCACCAGTAATTATTCTGCCTCCTTTGTCATCAGTCACCCCCGATCGGGCTACTTCTGGTGCCGAATCCATTCGGCTGGCCGTGCGCCGCTCCCTCTGCCCAGGAGGTGGGGCCTCCTGTCCGTTTGTGGCTGTGGATGCGCTATTCCCTGAGGCCACAGGGGGAGCCCTGGTCTCTGGCCCACACTTAGGAGATCTGGGGGCCGCTGGGCAGCCTCTGCTGGGTTCTGAGTGGAAAGCCACGTAGGATCTACCGCATGCACCCTGCTCAGGGAGAGTCCTGGGGGAGGCGTGGGGCGAAATGAACGCTGTGATGCTCGTTTCCGAAACTGACGGCTTCAGTGACCCCGGGGCAGCAGGTGGCCTGCTCTCCAGCACGCACTGGGGGGACCTGGGGGTGGCCGTGGCATTTTTGTCAAGCTCCTCGTGGTCTATGTGGAACTGGTTAGATGCTCCCTTCAAAAGCATTTTGTGGGAGGTCTGGGGTGAAATGAGGGGTTTCCTGGGGTCTGTCCCACCAGCCTTGGCAACGTGAGCTGCAGGGGCCTCGGAACTGGCTTTGCTTTTGCTTTTGATGCTGAGTCTCTTCAGCTTAGGACCAGATTTGGGTTTCTGACAGTTACTTAAGAGTGTTTCCACTGAACTTTTTTTAGGTGAGTCTTTATTTTCCAGATTCACTTTCAGCTGGGGGGAGCTATTAGGCACAGCAATCCCCTTTCTGGAATTCTGGCTGGAACTCAACACCTGACTTTTGGAGTCAGGGCTTCTGCTGGGCGCCATGGGTTGCTCCTTTTCAGTTTTGCCCTGTGAATGTGTCCCTTGGTTATTTTTATTTATTTCTTTAAACCAGGCCATGATGGGTCTCCTGGAAACCATTTTTGGTTTCTGTAGCAACTCATCCAGCTCGTGACTTTCGGAGATATGTAGATTTGTCAAAACAGACTCTCCATTCTTAGGGACATGCACGCTACAGGGGGACTGATTTTCAGTTGCACTGACATTTGTCTCTTGTTTTTTATTTGGGGTCTCGACACCCAGCAAGTCATGTTCTAAACCATCTACCGTGTTCAGACTGCCGAGAGCGACCGGAGGGTTGTGGAAATGCGTGGCGGCTTCAGGAGGCTGCCTGTTCCCCACAGATGAGCTAGTACTGGTGGCCTCCATGGTTTCTTCTTCACACGAGGGTCTGGGGTTCTGTAAAATCCTTACATCTGCATGAAGTTCATGCTCCTGAGAGCTTATATCCGAGAGAAGAAATGGCTGGGAAGAGTTTGGAATTGAAGGGCATGAGTTTCCTGGCACAAAGGATGCTCTCTCGCGTGGATTTCCCACCACTTGACTCAGAGCACTGTGCTTTAAGGGCAGAACTTTGGCCAACACAGGGCAGGGTGCGGCCTGGGCAGGTGCGTGAGCGGTAGTTGAAGGTGGATTGGGGGAACCATTTGTAGAACAAATTTCAATTTGCTCCTCCTCAGACTCTGTAGTGTCTTCCCTGTGAGAAGATCTGCGGGAATGAGGGGGTGACCAGTTGTTCCTGGTGGAAGCTCGTGGGGCTTCGGCGAGCGATTCAGGGTCAGAAGATGAGTCCTCGGCATCACCATACATGGATGAGAGAGATGGCTCCGTGCTGTCACCCAGGCCCGACAGGGACATGCTGTCTTCGTGAAAACTGCTAAAATTTCTAGAGTAGTTGCTCAAAAAGTTTTTGTTCACAGTAAAATGTTTGTCAGGATTAATGGAATCCAAAACTGAAGGCTGGGAGGCCCACTGTGGGAGGGGGGGCTGGCCAGCAGCCCAGGCCCTCCTTAGGGTGGGGGTCTGGTTCCCCACGACTGGCTCAGCATGGTGGGAACTTCCATTTCCAGTGCCTGCTGGAGGTTGACCCTGAGAACGTCCCACTTGACTCAACCGGTCCCCTTTCTGAGGAGACTGAAGTCTTGGTTCAGAAGCATCCAGCTCCTTGATGAGTGTGTCGATGTCAGTCACAGGACTGCCCCCGCTTTCCCTGGGGCAGCAATGCCCGGAGACACCCCCACACGCCCCTGCAGCCCGGTCAGCGGGTGACGGCAGGGAGGGGCTGGCCTGCGGGGCCCTCTCGGACACAGAATCTGTTCCCTTGGGCAGGGAAGAGCCTGGGGAGTTTGCAGGCACGAGGACGCCTGTTGCTTGCAGAGCCTTGCCGTGGTGACCGGGACTTCTCTGTCTCTCCTCCTGGGACACGAGGTCTGGGGACAGGACGCCACTAGCTGCAGACGTTGCCTCTGCCTCAGGTCCCGCGCCCCTGTGGGCAGCTGCCTTCCTGGGCAAGCTGGCTTCTGGGGCTGCCGGAAGGTTGCTGAAGTCACGACGAGCCGCTGCCATCTTCCCTGGGGAGGCGCTGCTCTCCTGGGTGAGACTCACATGACATCTGTCCTCAGACTCAGGCACCCCGGGTGACACTGGCTCTCCACGGTCCTCAGGCCGCCTTGCTGGCCCCGTGTCCATGGAGGTCTTGCTGGGCTCAGGGTGAGCTGCCCCCTTCTGCTCTGGGGTAGGGATGAGGTCTGGGGGGCTATCCAGTCCTGTGTGGAGATAAGGGGGGAAGCAGGGAGAGAGAGGGGAAAATGTGAGAAAAACTCTCAATTGAAAAAAAAAAGGAAAATGAAACACTCTCAAATTTTTGGTCTTTTTTCAGAAAGACATCCCACAGCCTAAATGTAGGCCTCCTTGTCGTTCTGTTTTTGCCTCTGAAATTACAGAGCGCTCACATCTAACAAATACCACTCTGCTCTAGACGTTCCGAAATAACTCAGACTGGCTGGCAGAATAACCCTTTGTTTCTGCCTTTTCTCTCTTTTTGGTTATTTTTAAGGATGGGGACCCCAGAAGCCCTTCCCCTGGGTTTCTTTACACCGTCTGCTCTGATGGCAATGGCCTCAGGGGTCAGGCTGTTCTGTTTGATCCCTCGGCTTTGTGTTCATCTGCAGAGGCTTCAGGTCTCTGGTTTAGCTCTAGGTCATGGGTTTGGCCTTATGGTGGGAGTTGTGTGCTGTAGAGTCTAAAACAGTCAAGTGACGACCTCTGGGGACTTACTGCTCAGCGCAGGACAGGAGGGAGGAGGCTAATTTGGGAAGAAACACAGGACACCACAGAAGGAGGCAAGTCCGCACTGTACCTTGGTTTTGTCTTGACCGCGTTGAGAGGATTGGGAGAGCTGGAAGGCCACATAATCTGGGAAGCTCTGACAGAAGGGGTCGGGGGCAGGGGGGGCGGGGTGGGAGTTCTGCGGGGAGAGTCGGGCCACACAGTGATCGGGAGGAAGGCGAAGAAGAAAATGGAATGAAAGCAGAGAAGAGAGTGCATGAAACCTCAGAGGCGCAGGGAAAGGCAATGCGTGCCGGCGACAGTGGGAAATGAAGTCCTTTCATGAGACGGGCTCTGGAGGGGCTTCCTCATGAGGCCCCCACACACTCGGGCTAATCTGTTCACCTCTGGCACATGGCATCTTATAATCGGGAGAAAGGACATAATAAGAACATTAGATTTGCTATTTTCTTGGGAACTATGGGTTGCTGGGAAACAGTCACAATCAAAGCACCTGCTTTGAGAAGATGGTCTCCCCAAACGTTATATTCACTCCACATCTCCCACACAAATCATTTTTTTAATTTTTTAATTAATGTTTTAATTTTTTACTTAAAAATTAAAAAAAATTTAAATACTTTTGAGAGAGAGAGAGAGGAGAGAGAGACAGAGCGTGAACAGGGGAGGGGCAGAGAGAGAGACACAGAATCTGAAGCAGGCTCCAGGCTCTGAGCTGTCAGCACAGAGCCCAGTGTGGGACTCGAACCCACGAACCGGGAGATTATGACCGGAGCCAAAGTTGGGCAGTTAATTGACTGAGCCACGCAGGCGCCCCTTCCACACAAATCATCTTAATTGCATATTCCTTTTCCCTCCTGAAGTTCCTATGTCAACAATTAAGAACTAGTTATTAGGACTTAGTGCTGTGCTAAGAGTTTTTCATGCACTTAATTTTCCTCCCAAGACTGTGAGGTAGGTCCTGTCACCATCTACTTGGGAACAGGAGGGAACTGAGGCACAGAGCGGTTAAGCAATGGATCCAGGGCCAGAGTTTATAGCCAGGGTCACCCGGGAAGGTGGCTCCACACCCCACCCTGTTATCTATAAACCCCGACTGCATGGCCTCTGTGTAGACAGCACTTGGCAATAGCAAGGTCGGCCTATCAAGACATGCGTGGAGAGCATACACAACCTCCCCAGACCCCGTGGAAGGGGAGGGATGTGCCAAGAATTCGAATCCACGGGCTCATGTCCTTCTCTGCTCTGCCTTTTTGAACTCCCTTCAGAATGACTTTCCTGCTTCTGCTGGTACCAACTCGGGGAAAAGTCACAATGAGACAAAAGGAAGGGATTTAACAGTCGTTCTTCAGTTTCAGATGCATTTGCTGAACAAACCTTAAGTTTTTGTTAGCAATTTGACTTTATTGCAAAGCGTGTAACTTAAAAGTGTTTTGGGGGAGATTAAATGACGTAGAGGCAGTCCTTGATGTCACGTTTCAAAGTAATCCTTCACTTGTAAACCTCCCCAAATGTCCAATAATGGGCAGAATGTTGCCTCAGTTATGGCACAAAATGGGGAGGGAGGCCCAGCAGCCTTACAAACGATGTTGCAGGCACAGGAGGACGCGGAAGACATCGGTGCAGTGTCCGAGCTAGAGCGGGGCCACAGGTGTGTTTAGGATGGCCCGCCAGGGCCAGCGTCAGCCGTGCAGGCCAGGAGTGTCTTGTGACCTCAGCACACGGCTCAAATATTACATTCTGTGGATGTGTGAGGGAAAAGATAGTTCTCGGTGCATCTGATCTCATGTAAGCAGAGTGCTGAGATTCTGAAGGGCAGGAACCCCTCTGTGTCCTCTCATGACTTATTCACTAAGGTTCACATCACAAAATAGGTAAAGAGTGTCAACTGACTGAAAATGGATGCACTTGATGTGGAACTAAAACTAGGAGTTTAGGCACAATGATTTAGTAAAGTTGTTAAATGCAGGAGCTTTTAAATATCATTCACCTGTGTAAAAGCCCCCCCCCCCCCCGCCCGCCCCGCTTCCCCAAATTCTCCACGTGTAACATTTGTATAAGGGTAACTTCTGCCTTCCCATCTTGAAGCTTAACCAGCACCAAAATAACCTTACCTGTCCTTGGTCGCTCTGGTGCAGCTTCCGGCAGGTTCTCTGTGCGGTGGCCAGCATCTGGGTGACATGGGGCACTGGCTGGCCCCCAGTTGGAAGGGACACGTCCATCCTCGACGGTTAGCTTCCCCAGAGATTCCTGGCACAATGACAACCACAAGTCACTGTCGTCAGTTTTCAGGTTTTCTGCACCCTAAGACCTCACACACAGAGAAGAGCTGGTTTGGGGAATTTCAGAGAACCCCGGATGAGGAGCCACGAGATCCAGATTCTGGGTGTCAGATCCACTAGAAATTATATGGACTTGTCATTCTTCCTAAGCCTCAGTTTTCCTAACTTTGGAATGTGGGTGATCAGGGAACTGCAGATCAGAATCACACTGAGATGTCACCCCACACCCATGAGGGTGGCTATAATCAAAAGCAGAAATAACAGGTGTTGGCGAGGATGTGGAGAAACCGGAACCTTGTGCACTGTTGGCGGGAATGTGAAATGGTTGAGCCACTATGGAAAAGGCTACGGAGGTTTCTCAAAAAAATAAACACAGAAATACCATACGATCCACATATCCGACTTCTGGGTATACACCCAGAAGAACTGAAAGCAGGGTCTCTAAGAGGTATGTGTATTGCCATGTTTATAGCAGCACTATTCACAATAGCTAAAATGTGAAAGCAGTTCAAGTGTCCGTTGATAGATCACTGGATAATCAAAATGGGGGATATACCGAAAATGGGATATTACTCAGTCTTAGAAAGGAGATTCTGATCCAGGCTGCAACAGGGATGAACCTTGAGGACATTATGTGAAGTGAAATAAGCCAGTCACAAAAAGACAAAAGTGTATGATTCCACTTTTATAAGGTATTGAGAGTAGTAGAAATCAGAGAGACAGAAGACAGAGTGGTGGTTTCTGGGGGCTGGTGGGAGAGTTATTATATAACAGGTACAGAGTTTCTGTTTCACAAGATGAAAAGAGTTCAGGAGGTGGTGGTGATGAATGCACAACATTATTAACAAATTAGAACTGTACATTTTCACATAAGGTGGATTTTACCACAGGAGAAAAAAATGGGGAAAAAATTGGGGATAAGACTTGCCCTGTCTAACTCACAGAGATTTAAATAAAAGATGAGTAAATGAGTAAAAAAAAAAAACAAAAAACATACAGCCCACAAAAGGCTATACAGACGTAGGTATTATTGTCTGTGTACAGTATGGTAATATCCACGACTGTAAGGTCAGCATGTCAGTTTGGTACTTAGGGCCAGGACTCATCTGGACAAATGAAACGGACATTTAATCTTTCAAAATTTCACTTTAGCCAAGTGTCAATTACTTCATCTTCCTTTCTTCTATCTAAAACCTACTGTAAAAAAAAAAAAAAAAAAAAAAAAAAAAAAAAAAAAAAAAAAAGAAAAAGAAAAAAATTGCAAAACCAACCCGCCAGGAAGTTAAATCAGATTTGAAATTCACTCTCAGAGTTAAGGAGTCTTCACAAAGTGGCCCAAAGGTGGCAGCAGAGGAGAGAGGTGAAATGGATACAGCGTCTTTCAGCGGCTCTTGTATAAAAATCATTTAGTATCTGCTGAGGGAAATCTGCACAGGGTTTGAGTCAGTTATTTCCCTTTAGCAGTAAGGCATAAATGTAATAGAAAACAGCAAAAGAGGTTTGGAATTAGTAAGGCATAAATGTAATACAAAACAATGAAAGAGGTTTGGCATTAGAGGTGTGACTGAACAGCACTGTGAATGCACCAAATGCCACTGAACTGTATTCTACAGTGTTTCATTTTATGTTATGTGACATTCGTCTCATCTTGAAAAGTATTAAGTAAAAACAGCAGAAGACAACTTACCGAAGGTTTTTTTTCTTTTTAAGCTTCCAATATTTGAGGGTAAATACTTAATGACAATGCATTTTTTAAAAAGTTTATTTATTTATTGCTTCTCGGCCTTTTGGCTAAGATCAAGTGTAAATTTTGTTTATTTTGAGAGAGAGAGAGAGAGAGAGAGAGAGTTCATGTGACCAAGCAGGCAAGGGGCAGAGAGAAAGGGAGAGAGACTCCCAAGCAGGCTCCGTGCTGTAAGTGCACAGCCTGAGGTGGGACTCGATTCCACGAACCACGAGATCAAGACCTGAGCTGAAATCAAGACTTGGGTGCTTAACTGACTGAGCCACCCAGGTGCCCCATAAAATGGCAATGCATTCTATTTTCTTTCTGATGTATAGATGAAATCATATTTTTGAAATAAATTTTTTTAAGAGAAGAGTTAAACTTTTGTGCAAAAGTTTTAAATGCCTCTCAAAATTCTTATTGGGAATACTCATTCACAATGACAAAAGCTCTTATTTTATAAACAATTATGAACAAAACCCCTGATTTATATAGTTATCCAAAACTGGCTGATACTTTTTAAAAGAAGGGGTTAACCCATCAGCCGAACATTGCATTTTAAAACACATATGCTAGTTGGAAGTAGTAACATATTTTCGGAGGATGAAAAAAGATGTGTTTCTACTTTTTCTATATGGTTAACAAAAATCCCTTCTGCCTAATATAGTTTTTATGACTTCATATTTTCTGGGTCTGTTTACACATATGTTTGTATAAACCACTTGAACATGTATCTTTATAGATGCGGCCTTACAATCAGCTCAGAGAGAAACTATTTATGTTGAGGTCGCAAACATTTGTTTCTCTTACTCCTCCTTGCTTACGTGGAGGTATACTGAGTAAAATCAAGCCATGTGAGAGGTGCCTGGGTGGCTCAGTTGTTTGAGCATCTGACTGTGGCTCAGGTCATGATCTTACGGTTTGTGGGTTTGAGCCCTGCCTTGGGCTCTGACACTCGGAGCCTGGAGCCTGCTTCAGATTCTGTGTCTCCCTCTCTCTCCGCCCTCCCCTGCCTGCACTCTGTGTCTCTGTCTCTCAAAAATAAACAAACATTAAAAAAATTTTTTTGAAAATCAAGCAATTTGACAATCTGGACCATTCTAACATGTGTAACCACGTTGTAACGTAAATAATATTGACTTGCATTTAAGTGGTGCATTATAAGTTTTCTTTTTTTTTTTTTTTTTTTTAAGATTTTCTTTTTCAGTCTTCTTTACTGTCAACATGGGGCTGGAACTCACAACCCCAAGATGGAGAGTCAGACTGGGCCTGCCAGGCGCCCAGGTGCATGTTAAGTTTCTAAGTGAATGCCTGCCCAATTTTTCACGTGATTCTCACAATAAGGGTACGAATAGTTTTGATTATTACACAGTTGCCGTAAAAAGTCTGAAAAAATAAGGATCGCGCAGAACCTCACCAGCTGGAGAGAATCACTGTTAGCCTGTGTGACGGTCCCTCTGGCTCTGAGAGATAATCAGGGCAGAATCTCTCCTCAGAATCAGGGCACGATCGGGGCGCCTGGGTGGCGCAGTCGGTTAAGCGTCCGACTTCAGCCAGGTCACGATCTCGCGGTCCGTGAGTTCGAGCCCCGCGTCGGGCTCTGGGCTGATGGCTCAGAGCCTGGAGCCTGTTTCCGACTCTGTGTCTCCCTCTCTCTCTGCCCCTCCCCCGTTCATGCTCTGTCTCTCTCTGTCCCAAAAATGAATAAACGTTGAAAAAAAAAAAAAATTTTAGAATCAGGGCACGATCTCTCCTCAGTGGTCCAGACAACTGTGCCTCACAAAGATTCAACAACTTGCCTCAATGGTCACCCAACTAGCCAGGGGACCAGACCCAGTGTTCTTCTTCACCAGCCTAGTGCCGCCCTTCCCTCATCAACCATGTGTACAGGTCCCGTGTACAGGTAAGAGAGGGATTTCATCTTTTGGCAGAATGATCTATGACTCAATACCTGGGCATGTTCCCCCCACCAGTTGCTACAGTCTGTTTCTCCAACCATTCCCCCTCTTCCAGGCAGGATATCCTCTGCTTCCTAACACACTCCATATTCACTCACACAAAAGTCACTGAGATCCCAAGTAACTGAAAGGAAACCAGTTACCTTCTCCACGGTTCCATCGGGATGAAAATCAGTCCCGGTCTCTCTGCCAGAAGTGGCCTGGATACATGGGTCATCAGCTCCATCAGCTAGGTTTTCAGTCTCGGAGTTGCTGGGCCTGGTGTCAGCCTCGGGCCTCTTGTGGTGTGGGCTGACCCTGGCCACTGGTTTGTGCCTGGACCCCAGGTTGTCATTCTTCTGCTGGGGGGACCTGGAGACATCTGTGTGCATCAGATTCTGGGGGCCTGTATCGGCTTTGTATTCCAATTTGGGGGAACTCTTAGATCCTGATAGTTCCTTCTTTCCTGAGCGGCCAGGGCCACCCTTGGGGGCCGCTACCGAGGCCAGCAGGTTGGCTGAATGGGAAGGAGTGTCCCCCGTGCCCTCTGGCACACTCTCCTCTAAGTCCAGTGAGCTGCCCAGGAGAGGCACTGAGGAGGCCTTACTGACCAGTGTTTTCTGGGGATGTTCTTCCTGGTTGTTGATACTCATGACCTTGGAAGAGGTCATCAAGACCTGCCTACAGTCATCCTCTGGCAGAGACCTGCTGGGACCAGAGAGGGTCCCTGGGAGGGAAACGCAATCCCCTTCGCCATCAAACTCTTCTTCGTCACTGGCATCGTCTGTGTCATAGCAGCCAACCCTCCTCTGGCGGACGAGAGGGTTTCGGAGCACCTGCGGGCTCCCAGGGAGACTGGCTTGTCTGGCAACCGTCACCTGCTTGTGGAAGAGCCCCGAGGCCCGCTGGCTTCCTAGAGACACGAGGCTGTTGGCCCTGGCTTTTCCTGGTTCCTTGTGAGCTGGTGGGGAGGGGGAAAGAAATCATCAAATGAGACAGGGTTTCCCATCTGGCCTGGTTTTACAACTCAACCCCCCTCATTATACGTGAGCACCCCCCCATTCACAACTGCCACCTATTCGTCCTCTGGCCACTGAAGACCAGGCTTAGACGACAGGGCTTCTTGGGATTTGCACAGAGTGGACAGCCAGAGTCCCTCTCTCCTTTTCCCACTGGCCTCTTTTCTTGTTTAAAATTTTTTTTCTTTTTTTTACTTCAATCTCTGGATTTGGTTTGCACATGTATGCTGCCTAGAGACAGAAATGTTTAATTCATCAACACCCATGATGCCTGATACATGGCTGGGGTTCGCACTAGATGCTGCTGCTGGGAGCTCCTTTTTGGGAGGACGCCCAGAGACCAGCAAGCCCTACACTCCAGGACCTTATCCCGTGAGGCCCCCCCTTCATCACAGGAGGCCCTTCCTCAGGGGCAAGGAGTGGGGGCTGGGTACGGGGGGCACATAAGCTCCTAGAACATGGTACAGGGAGCCTGATACTATATTCTCTGTAACCAACCAGGGATAGGGGAAAACTTGTTTGCTCAGCAAACTCTTTGCATCTTGCTAAATGAAAGAAAAATTACACGTGCTTCCACCTTGAAATGTTTCCATCAGAGACTAGAGTAAGTGCATCAGCTGCTTCAAATGAAAGCCAGAGTGGTCAAGTCTGCCTGTCCTAAGACAGAGATGTTCTTGTTCAGACATTAGAAATTAAAAAAAAAAAAAAGTGCAGGGGTGCTTGGGTGGCTCAGTTGGTTGAGCGTCTGACTTTGGCTAAGGTCATAATCTCGCGGTTTGGGAGTTGAGCCCCATGTCGGGCTCTGTGTGAACAGCTCAGAGCCTGGAGCCTACTTCAGATTCTGGGTCTCCCTCTCTCTCTGCCCCTCCCCCACTCATGCTGTCACTCTCTCTCAAAAATGAATAAACATTAAAAAAATATATTTTTTTTGGTAATTTTTTTAGTGTTTATTTGTCCTGTGAAACTTGCGGTCCATGAGTTCGAGCCCCGCCTTGGGCTCTGTGCTGACAGCTCAGAGCCTGGAGCCTGCTTCAGATTCTGTGTCTCCCTCTCTCTGGCCCTCCCCCATTCATGCTCTGTCTCTCTTTGTCTCAAAAATAAATAAACATTAAAAAAAAAATTAAAAAAAAAAAGCAAACCACACCAGCAGAAGCCTGAGAAATCAGTATGGTTCACATGGGATTACCTCATATTGTAGTGAGAGCGTAATCAATGAGATTTAAAAACACCTGTTTGATAACATCTCTCTTACGGGTTCAGAATCTTTCACTCGCTGCCTTCTAAAAAGAATGAAGTTAGGGCCCAGTGAGGGAAGGGACCTGGGTCTTGGCTAGGGTTCCCCTAAAACATAAAGCCATCAGGTTGCTAACCTGATTTCATGCCATAAATTTCCAGACTAAGTTATGTAAATAGCATCTAAATGCTGGTTTAGCCACCTCCAACACCCTGGGTGCAGAACGGGTGTCCAGATCCTTTACCGCAGACCTGAGGGGCCCGTCATTAAATGGTGGGCTGCATTTTCTAAGAATAAACTCTGAATTTAGTCAGGGAACAAAGACGGCTTCTACTCAACCAGAGGCTTGGGTTCCAGTTCTCCGTTCACATTAAAGCATCATAATACGTAAACCCATGTGGCCCGAGTCAGAAAACAGTCATTGTTTACTGGAGGTGCTGGGTGGCAGGCCACCGTCTTCAGAGATGCTGCAGCCACTTCCTGGGTGATCCTCGTCCTCAGAGCCAGCCACCATGAAGTCTGACAGGGGGCCTGGGACACCGGGGGCAAAGTACTGGGCAGGTTCGGGGTCAGAAATCAGGGGGTCCTGTTGGAGAAGACAGTGGTGGATGATGAGCAAGCACACCAGAAGCTGATCAGCTGAAATAGTAATTACTTCCTGTCTTTCCAAGAACACTTTGTTTGAATCCATGGTCCTGTGAAACAGTGGTGATAATAAACACCCAGTTCCATTTACTTCAGGATGGCTAAATTAAACAATTAAGGAAAAAGCCAACAGTTGCTGCCAGACCATGTTTTTAAAAGATCTTTTTTTTTTTTTTTTTTTTCCAAATGCTTAGCAATGACCAGAAAAGCCACAGCAGCACTGTATCAACCACCCCAGGAAAAACACTGGGGGAGAGAGAGAGGAAAATAGAAATAAATTCCCAGCCACTGGTTCAACCTAGTGATGGAACAAGGAAGAGGGGAGTTTGAATCCTGGGCTCTGATCCACTGGGGTTGAGGGGCTGCTAGCTGAGAAAGATTCCAGTCTCCTTAAAGTCACAGGCTCCCCCCAAACCAACTGGGACCCTTTACTGTGGAGCAGGTTGTAAACTATCCTTCAAACTGCAGCTCACGGGGCTCAGGTCATGATCTCACAGTTTGTGAGTTTGAGCCCCGCATCAGGCTCTCTGCTGACAGCTAGGAGCCTGGAGTCTGCTTCAGATTTTGTGTCTCCTTCACTCTTTCTGCCCCTCCCCAACACATACGCGTGCTCTCTCTCTCTTTCAAAAATAAACATTAAAAAAAATTAAAAAGAAAAACTGCAGCTCACTTCTTTTATTTTGTTGCTCTATTCTTTTCCTAGATGAATAGTTAATGAAAGAAACACACATTTTTATATTTGTTCTCAAATTAGCATTGTTGCAGTTGTCTGTGTAGAGTGGCCAAAATGACTCATGGACAGAAATATGAGCTGGGCCCTCAGGTTTGGCTTCTGGGCTCCAGGAATCGGTTCGTGGGCCATCTGAGCGAGGTAGCAGTGTGCCTTGACTCACCTTTTTTGCAAGAGAGGGACTCTTCAAGGGGGTACCTGTTGGAGGGAAAATTCACCATAAAGTTAAAAGAGCGCAGCTCGAATTCTTACAACTAGGCTCTCATTCTCAACTAGAAAAGAAGGAGCCAAACATATTAACTCTTCTCTGCTTGACTGACACTGATGGGCTGTGTGCATAGGTGGTAGACATGCATGCACTTGACCCGATCCCCACCCCACCCCACCTCCCAAGGTTCTGCTCATGCTTCAAGCCCTAACTTGGATGCTACCACCTCCATGGGATCACCCAGTTGGAAGTAACTTCTTCTGAATCTCGAGAGTATTTTATATTACCCATAAACCAATTTCCATACACACAGTATAATTTAATTATAAGTGGATGCCTCTCATATTCCTTCCTCAGCTATTCATCTACAGGGCTGAGATCTTCAGTGATCTGACTCCACAATGCTCAGCATTGCACCTGGGTCTAGGAAGTATTCAGTGATATCTGCTGAACGGATCGAAGGATCAACGAACAAAGAAGTCTCACTCAAGAAACCCATGAAGAAACTGGGGAGAGGGTTGAATAACCTATTTTGGTTTTTAGTAGAAGGATGTGAAGATTCGGCATTGAAACTTTAAATTCTATGCCATGAGCAAAAAGATCTTGGGCATGAGGTCCATAGCTTAATAAAATCTTTCAAAATAAATGATCGAATGGGTATGCCAGGCTTAGGAGAGGACAGCTTGCAGGCAGGTCAGGAGAAGGAGCTGGCCAAATAAAGAGCCCATTATGGTTGTGCCCACTTTAAATATATTAATTATGGATGGAAATAATCAGGGTATTACATGGCTGCCAAAAAATCTTAAGTCTTCCTTTTCCTCTGACAACCAGTAACTCATGTCTCAGTTCCTTTTTCTCCTGACATCAATCTTAACATCAGAAATATCTTGAGTTGAGACATGTTTGCAGTCCCTTTGGATTTCTATTCTACCGGAAACATTACTTTCAAAACTTGATGGAATGTTTCACATTTAAAATTCATATGAAATTTGGGCGCCTGGGTGGCGCAGTCGGTTAAGCGTCCGACTTCAGCCAGGTCACGATCTCGCGGTCCGGGAGTTCGAGCCCCACGTCGGGCTCTGGGCTGATGGCTCAGAGCCTGGAGCCTGTTTCCGATTCTGTGTCTCCCTCTCTCTCTGCCCCTCCCCCGTTCATGCTCTGTCTCTCTCTGTCCCAAAAATAAAAATAAACGTTGAAAAAAAAAATTTAAAAAAAAAAAAAAAATAAAATAAAATTCATATGAAATTCTTACTATTTCAGTCCTTCTCTGCCTTAAGTTTCCCACTTAAAGAAGTGGAAAATCATGATTTTGGGAGCCTCTATTACCCTTAAGTTGAAACTTAAAAAATACCGGCTTATTATTGAAATAGAGCTGCCGTACTTTGTGGAAATTTTTAATTCATGTAAAGAAACCCCAGGTTTTGGAATGGAGACCACTCTGCATCTATCAAACAACTGATATTTTGGGATTACTTCATTTTTACCTAAAACATTTCATATGAATTGTACATAAAACACACGAAATGCCGCTAACTCATTTTTGCAAATGATCTTGTAGTACAAGAAGCATGCATAATTAGAACTTTAATAAAGCACATTAAATAACTGCAGAAATCAAAAGTAGACACTAAGAAAAAGCACAGAATCTCTTGGACAACTACTTCTGCCAAACCTGGTAATTACAAAGAATCCAACCAATAACATTGCATTGGGGAGTGTCCCATGGGGAAGGTTAATTGAGAGACTCTTCTGAGTGTTGAATGAAAATGTGCAAATACAGTACCTAAGCCAGGAGAGGAATTGGCCTCTTTGCTCTCCTGATAAGTGCTGCGTGCTATCACTGCATCCATTTCCTGCTCGGAAACCTGGTTTTCAGCAGAAAGCACAAATTAGCTGGTTTTATTTATTTTCCCCCCAAAAAAGTAGCTAGGACCAGAGTCAGAGGCTGAGTGCAAATAAAGAGGAAAACCACAGGACCAAAGATTATGACCACCCTCTGAAGCAATAGCTCAGGGCATATAAGAAATATTGCCAGGTTAACATATTGCTTCAAACAATGTATTCAAAATCAGACCCTCAGTTGGTTTTCAAATTCATTAAAGCTTTCAGGTGCTACATGGCTGATACCTGCCTCTCTCTAGAACACTCACTTCTAATTCTTTTTTCCTAGATTTTACTCAAACAATTTCAAACCTACATAAAACTTGTAAAAGTAACACAAGAGTAGTAAATTCTTCATTGTTGTTTTTTAAAACATCCTCCCACATTTACACTCATGCTCTTTCTTTATACAGATACACACACCATTTAACATTTTAATTTGGGAGTCAGTTGCAGACGTTAAGAGGTTAGTTACAAACCTCCTAAAAACAAGAACATTCTCTTTAATAACCCCAGTACTATTGTCAATTCTAGGAAATTTAACATTGACACAAATGACTGTCTAATGCACATTTTATATTCCAATTCAGCCAACTGTACTAACACCGTCCTTCAGAAATGCTACTCAAAATGTGTCAGGAGACAGAAGTAGTTCACAGGAAGTTTGATGCCAGCTTGTGAGGAGATAGGATTTTCCTCTAGAATGCTTATCAACACTCAGCTTCTTTCCCAACAGTGTCTTCCTGGGGGAAAAATATCCACTGAACTGAGTGGTGGCCCTAGTGATGTAACTGATTTGCATTCTGGTGCAAGCTCCTTATCTTGTTGTGGATCTTTAGCGGATTGTCACCAACTAACTCCTTCGCATAGTAATGCTTTATAGAAATTTCATTTTTGGCAATCCAGCATTCAATTTAGGGTCAAGTCTTTTTTAGACTCCTTTAATCTGAAACACTACTGAGCTTTTGTCTGTCACAATACTGATATTCTGGAAGAAACCTAGGCCAATCAAACCCTCAATTAGGATCTAATAGTTTTTTCATGCTGAGATTTAGATTATGTATTTTTTTTTTTTTTGGCAGAAAAACTACAACAACTGTTTCCTTTTCAGTGCATCAGAGAGGCACTCAGGGTCAGCATTTCATGTTTCATGACTGATGGTAACTTTGACCACTTGATTAGGATGGACTTCACCACATTTCTTTACTAGATTTTTTTTTTTTTTTTTTTTTTTTTTTTTTTTTTTTTGGTCATCAATGAGTAATCTGGGAGGAAACAGCTTCAGACAACATCAATATCCTGCTCCCCAGTATATTTTTACTCAATGGTTTTAGCATCATTGATTATTCTTATTTGAATCAATTTTTATGATGAAGTTTTCAAAATAGTCATTTTATAACTCTTCTTTTCTGTCTATATTTATTGGGATCATGGTAGATTCATGCATTTTTCCCCCATTAGTTGTTATCCCTGTCATTATTCAATATGGAAAAAAAGTTTAAAGCCTGATATATGCTGAACTATGAGGTATTTTAAAAGACAATTACATAACTTGCATAGAGTTTCTTTTTTAAAGGTAAGAATACTGTAAACTTAGAATGGTAATTTTATGTACTAAAATAACATTTAGCATAAGTAATTTTTGGATAAGCATAGCAATTTTTCTTAGTAAATAAAGTTATGCAAGATTCAGCATTATGTTTTAATCTAACAGAGAAATCATAATCACATCATGGCTTTTATGTAATACTTTCTAGCAACCTTCACAGGAAATAAAAAAAAATATATATATATATATACATGCAGAAAGCATACACACTAAAACACAAACATATACTTCATAAAGCAAAAGTAATTTTGTATAAATGAGTCAGGGAAAATATAAGCTTATATGGTGGTTGCAAATTTTTCTTGCCAATTTGCAAGAATTGCAAGGTTGCCATTTTCTAATTGACATTAGACTTTCAATATTTGCAACTATTTTTCTGAGTGGGAGAAAAATGGTCAGGTTTTGAAACAAGTGAAAGATTTCCTGGATAATTCTAGTCATGCTGAGAGCCCCAGGACCAGTTAAAAATGGACCTCTATGACTTTCTTCTACTTAACATAAGCTAGAAGCTGTGACCTGAGTAAGTCCAAATCTTAGCTTGTCTAGACCTGGAGGGTTTGAATATCCCAGTTGGGCAGTCACTGCGCCAGTCATTATGAGAAACAGAAGAAAAGAAAATCCTTGTGGTATTTCTATTGGAACAACATGAAAACTAAGGAAGTACATACATTCAGTATCAAAATGTACTACTGGCATGAGATGCTGGGGTAAGTGGTATAAAAATACATTAAACATAAAATGGAATCTTGACCAAAAGAAAAATATAGTATGATGTTACAATTAAGAACACCATGTTTACCTAGGAAGAAATGTGAAATCTAGTAAAACAAATACTGAAATCTGGTTTTGCTGGATGTCTCTCCCACACCATCATGATGACCATTTACTGTGGCCAGAAACATGAATCAACCTGCATTCAACAGGATCGCAGAGCACCAGTCCATCAGAATTATTATGCTTTGTGCTTAAATGCCATTCTGATGTTTGATTGTACTGGCAAATTAGGTAGATGCTTTTGGGCTGAGACGAAGCAGACCTCCCAACAAATCGTGACCTGTGCTATTTTGGAACGGATTTTGAAGTCAGACATGCCTTGAAACGAATGCCTGGAAACCACTGAGAACTTAATTTTTTATAATGTTGCTGAGGGATGTGCGAGGTCAGCTCTAGCTTACTGGACTGCTTCCTAAGTGGGAAGCAGGTGATGGAATCCCAGAGAGGACCCTAGAGGAAGGAGTCAAGACCACTCTAGCTGTGAGTTTGAGGCAAAGTGGTGTTAAAAATGACATGGGGTGCCTGGATGGCTCAGTTGGTTAAGTGTCTGCCTCTTGATTTCAGCTCAGGTCATGATCTTGTGGTTGTTGGGATCAAGCCCTGAATCAGGCTCCTTGCTGACAGCAATCTGTCCCTCCCCTGCTTGCACACTCTCTCTCTCAAAATAAATAAATAAACTTAAAAAAAAAAAATGACCCAAAGAGAGCCATGGGGACAGCAGAGAGACAGAGGAGAACAGATTACAAGGGAAAATGTCAGGACTATAAAACGTAAAGGAGAAAAACAGGAAGTGACAAGAAGGAAAAAATGGAAAATGGTAGAAGCAGGACTTGATTTTATTTTAATGATATTTATTCAAGAAGTTTTTATTTAAGACATATATAGACAGGAGAACACAATCTGGGAAAAAAAATAGTAGTGGAGTTGACTTTGAATCAGTCTAATGGCAATCCTTGTCCAAGCACTATGGAGAACCAGTATAACAAAAACACACCACTGAAAACACTAAAAATGATGCTATAAAATTAATACACTAAAGAAATCTCAGAAATGGGATGACCCAAAGTTCTCCACACACACGTCTTACTCTCAAGATGGCATACAAGTCCATCAAGCATAGCAGTCTGGGACCATTTAGGATATAATCAAATAATAGTACAAATGATACAGAGGAGGTGGTCATATGATAGGCACAAAAAGAACTAATATTCTTTTTTTAATGTGTATTGATTTTTGAGAGAGAGAGAGAGACAGAGTGAGAGAGGGGGAGGGGCATAGAACAGGAAAAACAGAATCCAAAGCAGGCTCCAGGTTCTGAGCTGTCAGCATGAAGCCTGACACAGGGCTCGAACCCATGAACTGTGAGATCATGACCTGAGCCAAAGTCAGATGCTTAACCGACTGAGCCACCCAGATGCCCCAAAAAAGAGCTAATGTTCTTATGGAGCATTTTGAGTTACTGAAAAGGAAAGCCTGAATTTTGTAAAATATAACCTGATATTATAGACAATTTAATTTAAAAGGATTTTTACATCAAGTACTTGAAACAACAAAAAACGGTGCTCAAAGCCAGTAGAGTTGAAATTGCTGGGGCGCCTGGGTGGCGCAGTCGGTTAAGCGTCCGACTTCAGCCAGGTCACGATCTCGCGGTCCGTGAGTTCGAGCCCCGCATCAGGCTCTGGGCTGATGGCTCAGAGCCTGGAGCCTGTTTCCGATTCTGTGTCTCCCTCTCTCTCTGCTCCTCCCCCGTTCATGCTCTGTCTCTCTCTGTCCCAAAAATAAATAAACGTTGAAAAAAAAAATTAAAAAAAAAAAAAGAAATTGCTGAGGTGTGCTCCTGTTAACCTAAAAAAATTAAAAGCAACTGCTCAAGTATAAAAGAGATACAACCAAATAACACAAAGGCCCATGATACAGGGGCTATGATTATCTGCAAATTCAACAATGTGATATCAATGCAGAAAAAATATTAGTGGACTCTTAAGCCTTAATGACAGAAGTATTCTCCTCAGGTCAAGGATGGCCTGGACAGATCATTTAATCCAATGCTCTCACATTTTCTTGATGCAGAAACCCAAAAAGGTTAAGTATCTCACTAGAGATCAAACAAACAGCTGGAAGTTACTCAGAACCCAGCACTCTTATCTTCCTACCATATTTTATATTCACCAATAACACTATCAAAATTTTCTAATGAAATTTCTAAGAGTGTGAAGATGAAGAAGTCCACATCAATGATTTGTTCCCATGTGTATCAGTTACTTGGCCACTGTGTGACCACAGGCTGATTCCCAAGCCCGGCTGGGTGAACTGTCTTACCAGAGTGTGCGTCATCATAGGAATATGTGTCATCACTGCTACAGGACAAATAACCAAGCCATCTTCTCATATTTAGAACAATAAGAAGTACTTCACCTTTGGATTAGGGTGCCGGCCAATGACAAGTCGAACAGGTCCTGGGGGGCATTTGCTCAGGATGGTATGGACTTTGCTTAAAGCAGCATGGCGGACATTGACTGAGTTCACTTCCAGGATTTGATCTCCACGGCTAGGGAGGACAACATAACCAACACGCTGTGGTAACAGTTAAGTTTTTACAAGATTTCCCTCTGGGAGAGGTTTATAATATGAAATCTTTTCTGAATACTTTAAAGAAGCAAATGACATCTTTTCATCTTTGCATATGTGTGAAAAAGCAACACATTCATATAAACACATTAGATATTAAATCAGCAAAGTCCTTATGTGTATCTAGCTGCATTTTCAGTAGTAAAGTTAAATAAAATTGATAATAAGACAATAACAAGGGTTACCATTTCTTGAGCACAGAGTGTAAACCAGGCACTATACAAAGCAATTTCCATAACAATCCTTTGAACAGGTATTATTATTCCTATTGTTTAGACAAGGCCACAGACTTTAGAGAGGCCACCTTGATGTCACACACAGTTGAACTCAGGTTCAACCTGTCTACCTTTTGATCATCACAAGATAGCTCCTTGACCACCACCATTTTCTTTTTTTCCCTACCATCCTGAAATGATTATTGTAATGTAATTTGAGGGGGAAATATCTTGAAGCTCAAAGGTTACCCAAGAATTTGTAAAAACGTTTTAAATTTGAACAAATGAGAAATTGGGGACAAGATGCCCATTTTGACTTGAAATTATAGGCAGAGAACTCAGTAGGAGAGAACAAAAGACTCTTTATATGGTGTTTGAAGAATGTTCATTTGGCAGGCTCCAGACATATGGAACCATTCAAGAAAGAAACATCATCTTGGGATGTCATTAAAGGATTTTTTTTCCTTGGGTTCTAAAAGTATATTTTCTTTAATGTACTTTGGATGATTTGCTAAATTTTTTTTGTATGAAAATTCACTCTGATGATTAACTAAAAACATAACATAATCTATTAACAGGGCCCCAAAATGGCAACCTCAAGGCATGTCATTTTGACAATTCCTCAACTGCTCAAGGACTTAGAAGCTTATGGGGGGAAAAGTGATACTGTTTACACAGAGTGCTTTGTGCACTACGTGTATATTCTTGTGGCGTTTGGGTGGGCACAGATCCACTACAGTTACTATATAATAGAACACCTAGACATCTCTTGTATAACAGAATATCCATGCTACAACTCAACTAGCTGGACTGAGAAATCAGACATGTGGTGATTTCAGACAATAAGCATCTAGACAACATCACTCAGAAAGGAATGAAACAACAGGAAAGGTCAAGAGATTATACTTAATAATAAAAGAGGCCTCCAGTTTAAGGGCATGATTTCGGACTCTTTTGTATCCAGTGATTCTGAACTGTTATGAGCAGTTCCTGGCATCACCTATGAATTTTACATAAATGAATATAAAAGTGAAAGAAAATATTTAGATGATCATAGGTATCTATGTAGAGTTGTATTTTGTCAAGTTTCTGAAACTGAGCTTCTGCGTCCAAACAGATCAAAATAGGGAAGCCAAGATCTATAGTTCTCTACTGCTACATTAGCTTTTCATCTTTGGAAATTAATTATAATCTTGGCTATACTATCACTGCAAATAATACAAAAGTTTAGAATCTCACAAAAGAATGTAATAGGGCAGATATCTTACACGTATATTCATTCCTAAATTCACGAACATCCCAGAAGCCTATATTATCAGGTTTACAACAAACCTCAGATTGCTCTCCATCTTGGCCACTGATCCTGGGGCAAGGCTGTGAATGTAGATACCTGGAGGGCTGTTTTCTAGAGCCAGGCAGCAGGCACCAATACCTAATCCAACTCTGGGCTCTGAGAGGCATCAAAGAAAACAAAGTTAAAAAAAAGTATAAGTTATATGAAGCTACATCACTGTATATTCAGACCAGCAATCATTTATTTTTGACCAGACTGAGAATGTAAATCCTGCTTTTTGCTGTTAACATTATCATACTCTGTAAATGAAATGAGTCCATGGCAGAACCAAGGGCTAACTATGGACTGAATAATTCAGCTGTCTGCTCTCTGCTTAGTCTAAAGAAGCTCCTCAATTCTGTTTTTGGAAACAGGCAGAGTCAAAGTAATATATTTTTTAAAGATTTTATTTTTTAAGTAATCTCTACACCCAACATGGGGCTCGAACTTACAACCCTGAGATCAAGAGTCCCATGATCCTCCAACTGAGCCACCCAGACGTCCCAATATTTTTTATTCTAGATACATTTCTTTCACTTATCTTTTTTAGCAACTAATCTCTTGGTTACTTCATTGCTCATATTTCTGTAGTAGGTGTAGAGGAAAAGGAAACAGATGAAAGGCTGTAAGATCTGGTGAAGACCCACAACTTACAGTTATTAGCTGTATTCTCAACTATAATCTTTTGTTCTTCAAAATTTTTTATTAGCCCTAGAATTAAGTCAGTCAGTGATTTTTTTTTTTTTTTTTTGGTTTTTTTTTTAAACATGAGTTTCTGACACACAGTGATTCATCTGGGGAGAGCTTAAAAGACTTTGTACTACTGGTAACTCTTTTTCACTTTAGCAAAATGACTAAAATCTCTACGTGTGATCCCACTGTCCATTTACAGAATACCATACGTTGTTGGCAGTAAACTGTTCCAAAGGAACAGTTCCTAGAAAAAATTAAAAAAACGAAACCTAGGAACAGATGACAAATTATTATGTGAGAGAATGTAAGGAAGTGGGGAGTAGCTGGTATCACCTTTGTTGAGTGTGACTTCCATGACAATTCTGTCCTTGGGCCCGGGGGCCTTCCGACCCAGGGATGAAGAACCGCCTTCGTCGGAGCCTGCTGCTGAGCTGCCCCCACTGGTGTTGAAGTTGGGGGAGCTGGATCTGCTCATGTGTGTGGGTGTGGAGCAGGGTGTGAGGCTTGGGCTCAGTAACTTTGTGCGTACTGTTAAGACGAATAATCCACTCCGGATTTGCTGAGAAAACAAGAGAGTAAAACATTCTAAATGCTAAAACATTCAGACTACTCCTAGATTAATGGATGAAAAAAAAAAAAGAAAAGAAAGAAAGAAAAAAAAAAGAACCCAAACCAGAAGGAAATAAGTGAAGAGAAATCAAGAAGATAAAAGAGATAAATAAGAATGTGGTTACCTTAAAGGTATGGATGGCTTCTTGGAACGTCAAGCCCTTTATTGGTATCCCATTTACATCTAGGATTTCATCCCCTAGTGCCAAAATAGGAGAATTACATTAACATCAAACTTTGATGTACTAGAATCTAACTGCATGGTCAGTACTAGAAGAGGATACCATATGGTACCTGATTTACAATTCTATAAAAGGACTTTTATTGTTCCAGCCTACTTTCATTAGCATAGCTCTCAGGAATTTCAAAAAATGGGACAATTAATAACAATACATATTCTTTTGCAGTAATTCTGTATCTCCATCTTTAATGAAAAACAACCAGGGGAAGCATTAAATTCTAATTCTTTAGCCATTGCCAAGTTCGATAACAGGTGTCCTAAGTTTAGAGATCAAAATGCAATAATGAGTCCCAAGCCTTTCCTCATAGTGTTTGTTTAAAAAACCTAAACCTACTGGCAATATAGCATGAACATATATATAACATGTGAGAAAGACACTTCTGTATTTGCAGAAAGACAAGGTTTTCAAGCCTGCAGAATCATCATGGTGTGTGGAAAATGGTTTTAATAACAGAGACAAAAAACTTTTGAGATATTATCTAAAAATGGTAGTCCTCCCTCCAGAAATAGTCTAGATGCCTGGTCTTACTGATGCTGTTCCAGGTTCTCAGTCATTAAGACTAAGAGAGATTATTGTGGGCTAATGCCAAATTGTTCTCTCATTCATTCTCATTCTCTCTCTCTCTCCCTCTCTCTCTCTCTCTGTCTCTCAAACTATCCTGGACTCATCTTCAACCCCAAGGACGTATGGTCAGGTCATTTTTCCAGCTGTTGATAGTGTCTGCTGGGACTATAAGAGAAATTGGACAACCAGTTGACTTCTCAGTTTGTTTTGGTTTATATTCTTGTAACATGGTCTGTTTTTTTGGAATAACAGTTCATCGAAAACACTACGAAGGGGCCACTGAGAGAAGAACAGATGAACTTCACACAGCGGTGCAGGACAAACGAAGGCCTCCCTTTACCTGTAACAAAGAGCAACAGCAGCAGAACCTCTCCTGGGCAGCTAATCCCAGGGGCACACTGTGCCTTCCATTAAAGGAATCCTGTAGATGAGGTTGAAAAGGTGGCAGTACCTCCATGCACTTGTTATGTGCTTTTCTTTAATGCAGTTACAGAAGTTGTAAAATAAGTGAAATAATCTGTTTAAAAATAACCACCTAACTAGGTAAGGTTCTTGGTTTGCTTCCATATGGGAAAAGGATACGATCATTAAAATGATTGCTCATGCTCTTAAAAATCTTTATACAAGATTTTTAAAAGATCATTCAACACATTGAAAATCCATTCTAATGACTTACCTTTATTGTAAATGAACACATATGAAAAAACAGTATTTAGGAGAATCAAGTGCTATTAACCTTTACTAACTATTGATTTTTCCTCCATTTGTCTCCATTCTACCAGTACTGCAGGATGAATTTCAATCAAAAGAACATATGGCACATCCATTATAAAAAACACCCTGTTAGAATTTTACATTGTTCTGAAACTAGACACAAATACCACCTGGGAGTTAATCCTTCGTCTAAAAAAGAGAAATAAATATTCCGCCATCAAAATAAGCCTGGTCACGTCTTATCATTAGCATACAGGCTCCTAGGGTAGCTCTGCTTGAAAAAGGAGACTCCAATGGACTCTTATCAGTTAAAAAAAATAAGCTGGCAGAACAGAATAGTACCTATAATTTGGGTCAACTGAACCGACCAGTCATAGCATTTTTAAAGGTAACTACAAATACTGTCATTTCATCATTTCATGAAGGAAGTGTGCTAATAAGGGAGGAAGAAAAATCAGGACTCGTGAATAGGTTCTGGGGATCTATCACACAGCACGGTGACTATACTTGATCTTAGCCAAAAGGCCGAGAAGCGATAGCACGGTGACTATAGTTAGCAATACTGTGCTGTCCAGTTGAAAATTTCTAAGAGGGTAAGTCTTCAATGTTCTCACCCCCCACCACCACGGTCATTCAGTGGCATGATGAGGGTGTTAGCTAACTCAGTGTGTTAATAATTTTCCAATATATATGTACATCAAATCATCATGTTGTACACCTTAAACTTACACAGTGTTATATATCATTCACATGTCAATAGTTGGGAGAAAGAAAAGCACTCTGCTAGCATGTTTATGCATGGCACAATGTCAGGTAGCATGGAGAATATAAAAGATGTGCATGTACTCCAGCCCTGAGGCAAGAATGGCCTGCAAGCTCTCAGGAATTTTCAAGGCAAGGATCAAGATCCAAGGGGACAAGATAGACACTTAAAGACCAAATAAAAATATCGTCATGTTCTGCATATCATCTCATTTAATCTTCACAACAACTCTTTAAGATCGGTATTAATATTCCAAGTTTACAAACTGAGACAAGTGAAGCTCAGGCTACATCAATTGTCCAAGGCCATGATGCAGTAAATGTTGGATTCAGCTCATGTCCTCTCGACCCCCAAGCCCACGGCTTTGGCTGCTGTGCCACTGGCTTCACATCTTGCAAGGAGGCAGATTCTGATGGAATCAGAACTCACCACCACTGAGAACCACGGAGAGGCTTTCTCCTACCTTCTTTAAGTCTTCCATCCTCTGCAGCCGATCCATTTGGGAAAATAGTCTTGACAAAAATCCCCATCTGTCCTCGAATGCAGTCTCGGCCTCCAGCAATGCTAAAGCCAAGGCCCTACACCCCAAGCAGAAGGGGTCCAGGTTGTCATTGCAGTATTTGACTGAGGGCATCTGTTTTTGTCTCAGTATTTCACTGAGGGCATTTTCCCATTGTAGTATTTAACTGAAGTCTCCTTCCCAACTAGGCTCAGAGTTAAGATAACCAGCTATGAATTTGTGTTCCCTTCTCTATTTCCTTCCTCAGATCTATTTGCAGTGCACTAGGCTTGCATTATGTTAAAGGGAGAAAGTTTTACACCGAAACATGAAATTGCCAGTATTTGACAATCTTTGATCTCCAAAAATGGCAATTTCACATGGATTGATTAATAGCTCAGGAGAGTCATTTCACACAATTTAGGGGCCATACTTATTTTATTCTTTTGTTTCAGTACTTCCATGTTGTATCAAGATGGATGTTTTGATATTTGTATAATATCAAGGTATTTGTATTATTATCTTTATGATAATGGCAATGCTATGAAATTCATTCAAAAGGGTAAGTAGGAATATGCCCCCTGAAGCTACAGGGGTGGCCTTTCTTTCAACAGTAGTAAATGTTGGAACATTCACTCCACCCTCAACTATACCCTAGCTCCCAGGTGCCGGTGACTCCCTAAGTCATAAGGACAAAAGGGCATGATCATCTCAAATCCCACAGGAAAGGAGCAAAGGAATCCACTCAAATCTACATAAAGGCCACTTAATCTATTCCTCTTTATACCTTTTAATTTTTATTTCATGTAAAAACAACAACAAAATTCACTATTTAAGAAATACACGCTAACAGGGGCGACTGGGTGGCTCAGTCGGTTAAATGTCCGACTCTTGATTTTGCCTCAGGTCATGATCTCACAGTTCGTGAAACTGAGCTCTGTGTTGGGGGGCTCTGTGCTGACAGCACGGAGCCTGCCTGGAATTCTCTCTCTCTGCCCCTCCCTTGCACACAAACTCTCTTTCTCTCTCTCTCAAAATAAACAAACGTTAAAAAAAAAAAGAAATATATACTAACATTCACTTGGAGGACAAAACTGTGCAGAAGGGAGCTCACCTTGCCTTTTTCTTTGTATAGGCCAATGATGGAGATGACTGATGGTCGAATGAGTCTCCAAGGAGATTCCACCTGAGTGGTGCTTAGGGAGCGGGTGGACTTCTTTACAATCTGGTATTCCTAAAAGTCAGCACATGGCAAGGTCAGGGACAGTCTCATTTATCCTCCTGTGGCCTCTGGCATAAAAATATATTCAGGTTTTGAAAACCTCAGTTGTCTTTTGGGTGACACAGACATTTCTCCCTGCTCCATCTCTGGTCCAGCAGCTTAAAGGAAGTTTATTATCAACAACACTGGAGGAACAGCCCTGGCTGCAGTAGGTTGCCGTGCCTTCCACTGCACATGAAGAGCTGCATGGTGGCTGCTGGCACTCAGTGCTGCTCTTTGACTGTACCCCACAGATCTGACTCTTCTTGCTTTCTGGAATGGAGTGAGGAACCAGAAGCCAAAAGGCCTCAGAGATGTAGGAGGGCCATCCTGTGGCCGGGTTCTCCATGGAAGCCATCCCTTACCCCCATGCCAAGTTCACAATCATGGTTAGAAAGTATCTTGCCATTTTAAGCTTAATTCACTCAACCAAAATCTTAGCAAGCCCTTGTTTCTTATAATACCCAAACCGTAAACCCCGACAACTATTATTCTGTACAAAACACCCTGGTGAGAAATGCAGCAGCTTCGGTTCTAATCCCTCATGTTTGGAAAATAAAATTCTTTCCCAGAAGCCACACCTTCCCCTTTATGGCACGCAAGAGCTTGAATCTCAATCCCTCTCCTGTCCATCACCCACATGTACGTGTGTGGAAGCAAGGTACGCTATTTATAACATGAACGAGAGATAAAGAAAATGTAGGGCTAAAATCTTCTACAATTTAGCTCCTTGCTATTCTTCTTAGAATAATAAATTTCTTAAATGAGACAGATATTCCAGCATAAGCAAAAAAGGAAAAAAAATCACTTTGTGCTTAATATGAGAAAAGAGACATCAGAAAATAGTTGCTATCCTTAATTAGTATATTCTACATTCAAAGGTAGAAATGAGATGTCTGCTAATGATATTTTTGTATTCCTGGCAGCTTAGAACAATTATATTTTTGCAGTTTTACAAAATATCTGCCAGCTATGTTGGCTTCCCAGACTCTGATTCATTTAAAAAATGTTGGCTTGGCAAGGTTACTACCCTTTTACTGAAACCATCACGGAGATAGGCAGACATAGCATATGGGTTTTCAACCCTCAAATATGGAGGTTCATGTGTGGACTTAGAAGGGAATACTCTCTCACCACCAATCTCCAGCAGCACCTCCTTCCATCCCCCTTCTGGGAGCCCATGGGAACCAGAGGTCTGCGTGCTTCATTGCTCTCCTGATGTGTTTCAGGGGTCCCATTGCATTTTTCAGACCTCTGCTGTCCAATATGGCAGCCACTAAGTCACCTGTCACGGTCTATATTTAAATGGAGATTAAAATAAAAAATAGACGCCTTAGTGTCACTTGCTACTTTTCATGTGCTCCGTAGACACACGTGGCTCCCACAGTGGATAGTAGAGACATAAAACACTTCTATCACTGCAGGAAGCTGTATTGAGTAGCTCTACTCTAGACAATGCTTTGTAGGGGAGGGAGAGAGAACAGGGAAAAGAAGGGTGAATCCTGGGAGAAAAAGAAAAGGGCAGAAAAGAAGACAAGAAAAAGGACAGTTTGAAAAGGGGAAAAAGTCTTTCCTTTAAAATCTTCACTAGCCTGTGCTTTCTGGAAGCCTGGTTACAAATAAGTATTTCTGGGCTTTAAATAATAAATATGGTCAGGTTTCTCAGCAGGTCCGTTAAGAAATCACCACCTCAATGCTAGACATCCTTGGCTCTGATGGCAGGAAACCCTCTCTCACTTTCCACACTAAACTAAAATAGCCCACAATGTGGCTCTCCTACAACTTTCTGATCCACCCCCTGACTCTGCTGGCCCAGTTGGATCATTCTGAGCAGGCCATAGGCTCGTCTCTAGTCAAGGGTTTGGAGGAGTTTTAACCAGGACCCATGCAAGTTTTTTGTTCTGCTTTTTCTCCATGTCCCAACTCAAGTTGTCTTTGGGTAGATTCCACACAAAATAACCTGATCAGCAATTGCCTATGGAACGTGGGCACTTACTATTTTACTGGATAGGTAAAACTTTCTTTATAGTGATTCTGGCATATCACTTTGAGCAAAATATTCAATCTCTTTGAGATTCATTGGCCTGTCAATAAAATGGTGATGATACACCAAAAGTAATGACCCAACCCAGATGACCAGTTACACGTCCTTTACGACTCTACCATCTGTGAGTCTACATGAGCTTATGGATGTCATTGCTGCTACCCTCCACCTCCATCTCTGCTTTGTTGTAGGCAAGATGCCAATGGCTTCTCTTGAGCTCTCTGGCTGATGATGCCAGGACTCAAAGAACACTCCACAAGTTTCCCAGAGACTGAGCCTGCCTTCAACTTGGTTCGGAGCTGTCTCCCCTTTTGACTGTGTTGAGGATGATGTAATTGAGGAAGAGCCTCTGTGAAGAATTATGGAGTTCTGAACTCTTATGAGGCAGGCCCTGGAATATTAACATCACCACCTACTTCACCCCTATCTGCAGCCCCACTGACCTTGCCTGTTTGAGTCATTACTGTGTAACAGGTAAAATCCCAGACACAGTATAGGCACGTACATGCACTCCTTCTCTCTCTCATACGACCCAACACCCACCCACCTACCCAGCCGGTGGTTATGCTGATACCTGACGCGCCCACTAAACAAGCGATGGTGGTTGACCACAGACCGTGAGGCGCCACTGTCTCCTGGCAGTTGAAAGCAGCTCTCAGTTCCAAAACACACAGTAGGAAGGGGAGCAAGATGTCGAGATCCAACAAGGGATTATTTTTCTCTACGGTTCCGAATACTAGGCTGACTTCCTTCTAACCTCCATGGATAGACCTCGCTCTCCGTGCTACATCTTTAGTCCCAAATACCCCTGCCCACACAGATGGGAAGTTCTTCATAACACGGCTATTCCTGTTGGTCTCTGAAAGAGTAAATATTTGAAAGCCTAGAGACCCAGGGGTGGAAACATGCTCTTACATCCCTAACTGGGCAACTTTGTATGAGAAAACAAAAGGTTCTATGGTATTGTCCTACCTGTGATGTTCCAGTAGAGTCCAGCAGCTGGGGAAGAGAGTGCTTTCTGCCATCTCGGGAGACCTCCAACATTCTGGCCCGCAGGTCCCCATTTCGTACCATCAATTCATTATATTCTTCAACAGACTCTAGACGGTGTACACCCCCTTGAAAAAACAGGGGGGAAAACATGGTTTGATACGAGATTTAAAGAATCTTATCAGAGCATCATATGCATAAACTTGTTGCATTTACGTCCACACTTCATGGTTTTCATAAGGCCTGGTGTCTCATACTTTTAAAGCACTGAGCTCATTGCTTTCTACCAATAAGCTCTGCCTAAGCTGGGTGTATGTTGAGGCCATTAATGCCATATTGTGAAGAATGTGCCAGTTTTTGAAGGGACCAGACGGGATATGGGAAAATGTATGTTTCATCCAAGTAAGATGTAGCCAGGGTTGATATGGCAATAAATGATAGTGAAAATGCCATCAGTATCGGTGGTTTTCTAGTGATGGAGGAACATTATTCTATGGTTGGCATAGTTCCATTCTTGCGGCAGGTGGTTTTTTTCACTTAATGACTTTTTAAATAACCTTTTTATTAAAGAGTAACAATTTACAGAAATATGCACAAATCATATAAGTGTATGGTTCCAAGAAATTTCACAAAGTAAATGTTCTAAAAACCAACACCCAGACCAAGGAATAGAATACGATCAGAACCCAAAAGCCATTTTTGCACCACTAACCACCCTTCACCCAGGGTAACCATTATCATGACTTCTAATATCATAGATTACTTTTGCCTTTTCAAACTTTATATAAATGAACACAAATGATAAATACTTTTTTGTATCTGGCTCCTTACTCTTAGCATCTGTTTGTGAAACATGGGCTGTTGCTAATAGTTTGTTCATCCCATTTCTGCATACTATTTCATTGTATAAACATGCCACAATTTGGCTATGCATTCTGTTGTTGATAAACATTTGGTTTATTTCCAGTTTTAGATCTAGAACAAGGGTCAACATTTTTTTTTTGTTTTTCTTTTGTAAAGGCGAGATAGTACATGTTTTAGGCTCTATGGGCCATGGGTGGCCTCTGCTGCATAATCTTTAAACATTTTTTTTTTTTTTAACACAACCCACTGAAGATGCAGAAAGCATTTCTAGCTTGTGGTCCATACACATGTAGCTGTGGATGGTGGTTTGCTGACCCAAGATTTAGAATATACTATTACGAAACATTCTTATAAAAGTCCTGTCTGTGGGGTGCAGACCTAGGAGCAGAGTTGCTGAGCTACTGGTACACATTCACCTTTACCAATGTTGTAACATTCATGTGTGTGAGTCCAAGTTTCCCCACGTCCTTGTCACACTTGGTAGTGCCAGTTTAATTTTAGCCACTGTGGTGGATATTGTAATGCCATTTCGAGCTTGTTTTTTTTTTTTTTTTTT